CTTTAAAAGACGTTTAGATGTAGAGCTTAGGGATATGGTTTAGTGGAGGACTGTTAGTGTTAGGTCAGAGGTTGGACTCGATGATCTTGAGGTCTCTTCCAACCTAGAAATTCTGTGATTCTGTGTCTTCAACTGTATAACTTCCATTCCACTATTTATATGGGTAAAATACTTATACTTTTAAATAGCTAAAACCAACATTAAACTACTACATTAAAAGGATCATAGAATTATAGCATGGCTTGGGTTGGAAGGGACCTCAAAAATCATCCAGTTCCAGCCTCCCTGCCATGAACAGGGATGCTACCCACTAGATCAGGTTGCCCAGGGCCTCAGCCAACCCAGTCTTGAACACCTCCAGGGATGGGGCATCCACAACCTCTCTGGGCAACCTGTTCCAGTGCCTCACCACCCTCAAAGTTCAAAGTAATATTAAAGTTCAGTAACTGCGACACTTTTGGTCTCAGACACTCGTGTTTTCTGAGAAACATTTAGAAGATTTGTAAGCCAGTGTTTTCTATTATGTTATTTACATTGTTAATAGCACTTAAATTCCACGCCTAGGTCAAGACCTGCTGAGTTATATGCTGTATGAATAGTGTACATTGATATTCTGGGCATAAAAAACATATGGCTTATTGTGTTGTTGAAATAACATTGGAGAAATGTTAAAAATAGGGAACTACTATTGAAGCTAGCAAGCAGAAGAAAAGACGAAGGTCTTCAGAGCTGCTGGATACGAATCTTTCCCTTCCACCTGAATGACAATATACCACTTATAAGAAGTCACTGGAACAACCTGGAATTATGTAAAAGGTCAAAGTCTCACAGAAATGTTCACGAGCCTTCAACTATAAACTGTGGTCCATTCCTACTAAATAGCACTGAGTTAAATACACATAATATTCTCCTAATGTTATTTCAAGTATAGTAACACCTGTACCATACAAAGAAGGTAACTGAATTAAGAGTGTGATGCTAGGTGGTCTTACAGGCATCTAGAAGGAGAGAGGGTAACATATAATCCTGATTTGTCCATAATGAACCTGTATTTAGGAACACATTCTAAGGATACTTGAAAGTCCCTCTTTTAGAAGACAGACCCTAATCTTATACAAGGAACAGAGGCGTGCAGATGATCAGTAGGAAAAGAAAGACTGCAAAATAGGGATAACTTGCTGAAGCCCAGATGCATGTATTTAGAATATTAATCACATGGTGACAGACTATGATATTGAATCACTACAGAACAGACCAAGCCCATGTAGAAAGCAATGAACATCTGACAAAGGTACTTGCTGTGCACTCCTCAGGTGGAAGTAAGCACTCTGTCAATTGCTACAGTAATTAAAATGAACAGTCTTCCATATGGATCAGCAAGACAGTTCAGCAGTTTAGTCACAGCTGTCTTTCACAAGTACAGAAAAGTTCTTGGGTCTATACTTCTAAAAAACAGTTAGAAGCCTAAAGCCCAGTTACAGTGGTGTTAAGCAGAAATAGAACTGCTCACTTCCAAACGTGTCTTTCCTCTTGAACTTAAGTAACAAGCTTCTAGAGGCAGAAACCATGGTAATTTACTTAACCTTCATGAAAGAGAACAGCACTGATAATAGAGCTCTGACAACAGCTTGATCTCCAAACAACAAAAAGGCCGTCACTGGGATGTACAATTTTTGTGTGTGTGATTTTTTTAAAACTAAATTCTTTGATCCACACGTGTTAATTAAAAATTTTTAAGTCAATTAACATACTGCCTGTTGATATCAAAGATTGCACAAATACTGAGCTCTACCACTGACACAGATGTATTAGAGTATGATTCTGCTGCTTCTTGCATGTGTTTCTTCCCCCTGCCTTTGCATTTGAGAAATCAAATTAGATGCTGCAAAACTGTCCCCCTATGGGACAAATATGAAAGCTTGATTTAGACTCAAGAGCAGTTATTCACACAAATAGCCTGAAATTCAGTAGCAAGAATTTCAGAAAAACAAGTACTGCCAGATTGAATCAGGGCACACTCCTATCCTCTTTCTGGATATTGCCTTTTGTGGGCAGAGGCAATGGAGGAAAGTGCAAGAAAGCCTCAGGAAGAGATGGTCTGCCTCCCACACTAACTTGTATTCTGAATAATGAAGTTTAATATTCTCTCCAATATTTTTCCCAAGTTACTGTAATTGTAATTTAGAGCAGCGACAAGATCTACAATCTTTTGAACTCTTGATCTCAAAAACAAATGTTTCTTCCAAAATTATTTTTCCTATTAGTTTTTAATTGACAGCTTTTCATCTTCATTGACTGTCCATCTGTTTTTTTTTTAACAAAACAGTAAAAAGAAAAACTCTCTTTCTGCCAAAGCAGCATACACCAATACCTTACAAACTTTTGTTCTTACCTCTTTAAGATAACCAGACAAAACTCTTGAGACTCTTAATAGACTGTCTGTATTCTTTTCCTTACTCATCTTAAAGACTTCTTTGATCATTTTTGAGAGGAAATAACCAATATTGCACAATATTTCACTAGACCATACCACTAAATCCTCTGAAGGCATCATAATAACATAATAACACAAGAACACATTGCTTTATTCTAATTCTTAAAATCTGGTTTGAAGGTGCAGTCAAACAGCAGAGGTCTTCACTGAGCTGTGTACAGTCCCATCCTATTCCCTCTCACAAGCTGATGCAGTGATGTGAAACTTTGCAGGCTGGACTGGTAATTTTAGCATTTTCAGGGAACACAAGGCTTCTATTTGTGACAGGGAATGTCATTTGTTAACATCTGGGCTATTCACCTGACTTGAGCAGGTCTCCCTAGAGCAATGCAGAGTCCTTTCTTTTTCTGTCCAGTCCATAACATTTTGTGATTTTGGCAATCTTCCCTTCTTCCTCCCCTCTTTCCATCTTATTTATAAGTATATTAAGTATAGGATTTGGTCAGTAATTCACAGGATTTTGTTAAAAACCAGCAAAGGCTTCTTGAATGTCTCAATTTTAAATACCTACAAACAGTCTAAATAATGCATATGAGAAACACTGTCATGTGGGAAAAAAAAAAAAAAAAAAAGAGAGATCTGGCCCTTCAGGTGATTTAATTATAATAAAATAATGTCACAAAGATATATATAAAAAAAAAAAAAAAGATCAGATCAAACCACGTTACTGACTTGTTTTCCAGAAAGCAGATCCATTATTAATGCACTCCATTAATTATACCCATTATTTACATAGTGCCAACAGCACAAATATCTACAAGCACACACAATAAGATGACAAAAACCACAAGGGAGCAATCTGAACTTAATAAAAATTGTTTGTTCACAGTTCTTGGGCTAATTAAACCCTGTAAATGAAAGGTCACAAGGAAAATCCATATCCCAAAACTAATTGCACAAGCTCAAGTTGAAGGACTGTTTAAAGAGGTTTCAAAGTAGCTGTTACAAAGGTAGCTTCCTACTTCAGACGATTTACCCCATTTACATCCATTTGGTCAGCTATTCAGCTGATGTTCATCAATACAGCTCGTCTTCAGCCATGCCATTCAGTACCAGCTAGAGAGATAGGTCTTTTATTTCATACTGTTGTTTTTTTTTTTTCCACATTTCTAGCAACCCAGATTTTCAATTGGCAATGATTTCATATGACCTATTATTTTTAGGCACAAAAGTAAGAAACCCAGACAACTTTTGTATTTACATGCCACCATTACAACTCAAGTATGTAATTTTGTTATTCAGAGTGAGCTACCAGAGAATATATAACTAGGCTAGCAAGCTGAGGCTTGCAATTAACTTTTTCAGACACAGTTATGAATTTCAACAAACAAGTAATAATTGAGGAGTTAGCATGACCATTATTACTTCAGAAGGATCTGCCACAGCAGCTCAGTGCGACTTCAGCTGGACTATTAGTCACTGTGTCAGATGCAAGCACTAATACCCAACTCAGCCTGGCATCAGCACACAATCTGATCCTGAAAACTGACCTGAATAAGCTTTACTCTCAGGAATGATCCCAATCCAGGCAATGGATTTGCTCTTAGAGAAATCCCATACTCCCTCGCGAGTAAAGTAGCAAATATCAGACATTTCTGTCAAAATAAAAATAAATAAATAATAATAAAAAACACTCTCTCAGAAGAAGTCTTTGAATATTTATCAGTAAAGCCCTATCATCAGGCAATCAGAAGTGGCTCACAAAAACTGAACAAGTACCACACACCACACTTGCCTGCATCTCCCTCTTTCATTATTAAGCACATGAGCAAAGGGATAATCCGTGAGTAAACATTTCAGAATGTTTACACGCCATACTTAGGAAAGTGCACCACGAAAACAGTCACTTTGTCAGAGCCAGTGTTCCCAGCAAAACTGACGTTTGTTACAGCACGATCATTTCAACAACAAAAAAACCCTGTGATGATACGAACAGCATTTGAACAACCAAAATGTTTTTATGACTTCAGTTAATGGGTAACTTATTTTTAGAACTTGTTAAGTCATGCAATTACCACCGTGGAGATGAAAGACGGGCAAGAAACAGGGAGTGTTATTGCAAGAATACTAGCTGATATATTACAACCCCTCAAGGTCTCAGCTCCTTCGTAAATCACGTCTACGGAGGGACACAGCTAGGCTTCTCTTCGTGGCGGTATCGCAGGAAGTTTCTTTCTCAAGTGCAGGAATATGGAAGAGACGGCTCCATTTGACCCAGGAAAGGCATAAAAACGAGATTAAGCACTGCGAAGATCTGGCAGACCTCTAAAGCAACAGAGAGACGTACCGAGAAGGCGTCACTTTTGAGAGCAGGGCGTGCGTGAATGCAGCGGAGCTTTCTCAGAGCTGTCACAAATCCGGCGATCAACACATCACCGAGCGCATAGGCAGTACTAAGGCACCTAAACGGGCTCTCCTGGTCGCAGGATCCCACATTTACCTCGTGGCTACCTCTGAGCCAGACCCCCCCAGCACCACCCCCCCCACCACCCCCCGGGGGACTCACGTTTGTAGCTGGCGGCCCAGGGCTGGTAGCCGTAGTAGCCGGTGATGCGCAGGATCCTCTCCTCGATGGAGGTGAGCCCCACGGAGGCGCTGGTGAGGTCCTCCACGGAGCGGGACCACTTGAGGTCCTCCTTGATGGCCTCGTCCACCACCAGGTACTTGAGCTGCCGCAGCTGCGGGCTGATGTCGGACAGCCGCCGGGGGCTCACGTCGGGGGAGCGCCGCATGCCGCTGGGGGCCGGGAGAGGGGCGTCAGGGGCCGGCAGCCCCCCGGCACCTCCCGCCCGACAACTTTCCCCGCCCGGGTGTCCCCCATCCCCGTCCCCATCCCCGTCCCCGCCCGGTACTCACAGCGTGGCGGCTTTGCCCCGCGCCGAGCCGTTGGGGAACTCGCGGATCCCCATGGGGAGCAGCAGCAGCGAGGGCTGGGGGGCGCCCAGACTTCTCGGCGGGGCGAGCCGGCGGCGCCCACCGGCCGGGTGCGAGGCGGGAGGGAGGGGAAGGAAGGAACAAGAAGGGAGACGACAAGGAGCGGGCGGCGGCCGCGGAGGGTCCCCGGGCTGCCGAGAGCTGGGAGAGTCGAGGGGCGGGCCGCCGCCGCCGCCGCTGCCGCCGCCTGCCGAGCGGGGGCCGGGCAGGGCGAGCTCCGCGCTCCGCGCCCCCCGCCCCAGCGCGCTGCCAGCGGCCGCCGCCAGGGGGAGCCCCGCGGCCCCCAACCGGCCCGGCCCGCCGCGCAGCGCGACCCCTGCCGGCAGCCCGCAGCCACGGCACGGCCCCGGGACAGGGGGAGGGGGTCCTGAAGAGTCCCCTCAGGGTCCTTCTGGGGGTGAGCGAGGGAAGGAGGGGGTAAAGACGCGGGTGAAAGGTGGGGTGTGCACCTAGTATAACCACGTCAAAATAAAATAATAATAGGTGCTTGGTGGCCTGCAGATATAGTTGGAGTTGGTTGAATAACTTTGTGGGTACGTGCGTCCTATAGGAAAGGAAATGGAGAAGTCCCAGAAAGTTACCAGGGATAGCAAACCGTGAACGTTATGGAGGCGTTCCTGATAACTACAGGTAATGTTCTCTAAAGGTAACTGTGCCACTTTTAAAGCTGTGCCACTTTCAGAAACAGAAAGCAAAGTAGCCCCAGCTGCCAGGAGACAAACTAATATCAAACACCCGTATCAAATCACGCACTGAGTTTGTGTTATCACCTGCACAACAGTTATTTTGTCTGTCCACACAGGCATTTGGCAGCGTGACGGAGTGCCCTGCCAGGCACGCACGCCAATGCAGGAAGGTGACTTGGACTAAGGTGAGAGGATGGAAATGACATTCACCAAACCCACAGATAGTGATGACTAGCTTGATTTAAATCTCCTCAGATGTTCAGAGCAGCAGTAATGATAACAAGCAACAATGGGATTAGACATTTCAGTCAGGCCCAAGTCCAGTGTCACTCTATATGCAGAGTCCATACTCTTCCCAGCTTTAAGTGAAAGACAAGGATAGGATGTCAGCTGAGAATTACCTGTGCTACTGCATGTATCTGGTGTCAAATCTCTCCATTATTATTCATAGAAGATTCTCAAAGTGTACTAAAAATAACATCCAGAAATGCAAGTCTGGGCTAGCAGTGCTCAGTATAGGGTTAATTCACATTGGCATGGAAAAATGGCATAAAGTTCTTTCAGAGCTGGAGCAAACAAAGGCTCAATCAACCAAGCCCAGCCAAGCAGCAATACCTGCTGAGCACTTACCCACCTCTCATCATGGGCTGGACAGGTGGGATGGTGCAGAGTAGCAAACGCTTGGTCAGTACTGCTGGACTGCCAGTAAAGTACGTCCCTGTCCATTTTCTGTATTCCCAGAAAGGTGCCATGGAATTCAGAATCTCTATTGCACATCTCTCCACTTTATATTCCAGAATCATCTCATTCCTTACACATGCCCCCCAAAAAGATTGTTTTTCTGCTGTTTTATTCTTTCCCAGCTACTGTCATTTCAAGGTGTAACTGGAATGATGGATGACCGTTAATACTTTCTCCTGTCATGCAAGTAAGTGACTTTGGACAGCTTGGGTGGCAGTGCTGACAAACTTGAAGAGAGTATGCATCTTGTGAGAGAGAAGAAAAGCGTGGAAAATTGTGAAGTTTTGAAAACGGAATTGTTTAGTGAAACAACATTTCAAAATTACAGTAAGAGGCAACATCAACACAGTTATCTCTTAGGATCTTGTCAAACCTTGCTGTAAATGTTTCTTAAAAAATAAACATTTGTGGGGGCATGCAAAAAAAAAAAAATTCTTGCATTCACTATTTTAATTATGTTTAAACATTGCACTTGAAATTGAAACTGACAATATGCCATTGAATGCTAAAAGATAAATATTCAGTCCCACATGATGTTGAATTTGTGGATTTATGGAACTGACTTGAATTTTTTTGTATGAGGAGAGAAAAAGTAGTGTATAAACTAGCAATGCACCCCAAGAGTAAGGAACAAGTTACAGAGAAAACATTTGCTAAATGTTTTGTATACCTGTCTAAGGAATATACCTACACACTATTTAGGGAATAGTGGGCAAAACGGAGCAGAATTTGTCTCAGTTTAGGTAGGAACCACCCAGTACTCTATGCACCGCCAAACTGGAAGCACTGTGAATGGCTTTTCTGAACCTTTTATTAGCGTTACTTTAATAAAATACCTACAGTTTTTCAAGCATAGAAGAGCTGGGAAATAGTGTACTTGAAATAATGGCAGAGCCCTGTAGGAGGAAACAGTATTTGTTACAGAGTGTTGTTACTTATTCTGTCCTGTTAGATGCACATTTTCTTTCCCTAGACAAGAAATGATATGCTTGACTGATAGTCAGCTCTTAAATACAACCATTAAGATATATCAGCTCTATACAGACATTATGATGCCATGTCAGAGGAAAATACAATTTAAGCAGTATTTATTTTCATCTCCTATCAGTAGTAGTTTGGCATAAGTTTATCCAAGATGGAAATTTACACTTATCAATACATTATTCATTTCATGTGAAGGGCTAGTGATTTCTACCCACCTCCCAAAATGAGTTTTACATTTAGCAGATACAGCGACAGGAGTAGGATAACACAGAAGAGAGATTTCAGTGGGCAAGACAACAGTCACAACTGCAGAAACTACTATCTATCTTCTCCAGTTTATAAAAAAATTACCTCTAGGAACTCAGAGTCTTTAGAAGAGGACCCAGCTTCCTCCTCAAGCAAGTATTCTTCTGACTGAATCTCTCTGCAGTTGATGTATGTTCCTGCTTCTCAGTATTTTTATCCTTATTACAGAAGATGCATACCTGAGCCATTAATCAGATGTTCTGGCCCCAGGGATTCTTGGGGTTTAGACAGATATACAATGTACATGATAGAAGCTCCATATAACACAGGGAAATGCTTATATGGCAAAACTATTAATTTTCTCTAGCTGGAGTCAGATTTGACATCCACATGAATATAATGCTACTGTATAGCCAAAGTGGCTCCAGCTAAATCAGTGGGACCAATTTAATATTAGTATGCTGTTCTGCCTGGATAAGGGTGCAACTTCGAACATAATCTATTTCACCTGCAAATTTTTGAGTCAGCAACAAAAAATATGTAGCTAAAGGCTTCCTAGTCTATCATGGGTAATCTTGCTTGCATTCACATTTTAAAATATCTACTACTACCTTTAAATGGTATAAATAAACCCAGAGAACCATGAAAGACTGATAGAGTGGACAGATGCTGGCCAAATGCAAAACTGGATAATAAGCAAAATCAGCTCAGCCACCTTCAACAGACTCACACTTGCTTTCTCAAGTAGAGGGAGAGTGTGCTGGAGCAAACACAGATAAATTTAAGACAAGTTGCAGCACATTTTTCATGTAAGCTCCCACATTGTTCTCAGACCCCTGCAATGCACAGGCAAAACCAAACAAGCATCAGGATTTCAGGCATGACTCCTTGCCAAAAGCAACTAGAAAGCTCTGAAAATTATGATGTAGTTGCCTGTTGTAGTCAGGAAGGTACACAGAGATCAGTTCCAGAGAGGTATGTTGCTTTATATAAAGCTGATTTTAATCTGCTGCTTCAATGGTGTTGAATATAAACTGTTCAGCTTCTTTTTTGCCAGCGGAAAATAGAAGCCTCTTATATTTGGAATTGAAAATAGGTCTATTGATTGTTTTGCTATCTATTGTTAGTTAAGAAGTGAAGGGAAAGAAAAAACTTTTTTTTAGGGCATCTCATTATTTCTTTGCAGCATATGAGCATTGCCCTTGTGTTTCTTCTCAATTCAAGTGGAAAACTGAGAAGTGAAAAGCAGAAAGATAGTCTTTGTTTTTAAAGTCTCCTTCCTCGTTTTCCTTCTTCCAGCAACAGACCCCAAAAGGACTGTAGGAGGTGTCAAAGACAGAAAATACAGAACAGCAGATCTCTTCAGTGTCCCGTATTTTGAGAAATGCCAGAGGCATAAATCCCAAAGCCAATCTGTGCTCTACATATACTTGGTATCTGCCATCATGTTGTGCCATTTCAAGAAATTTATACCTGAAATAAAGGACTACAAAACAAAAATTAAGGAAAGAGTAGTTACCAGTCCTGCAAGTTTTCTGCATTTGCCTATCATTCCTACTTTGTCCTTTTCACTTCACTGACTGTAGTATGAGTTTGTCTGCAAGGAGAATCAAACAATCTGGGAATAAGGAGAAGGGGGAAATTATGGCAACAGCTATCTACCCTGGCAAGCCCAGAAAGACCACCAAAAGAAATAATTGAAAAGCAGCCATGAAGATTTAGGGGAGAGAACGAAAGACTCCGGACAGAACAAGAAAGAAAACGTAATGGATTTGTGCTCAGGGAAGGCTTTAGTGAATCAGAACACAACATTCATACTGCATTTAAAGTTGCTTATCTGGAAAGTGTGCTAGCCCCAAGAAAAATCTGATAATTCTCACCCTTCAGATAAGCTTTTGTTTTTCTAGTTTTGAAGGTGGTTTTTAAAGTTGTCATTTTTTGATGCAGGAAATGCGTTGCTAGCCTTGGACTGCGCAGCTTTCTTGGCAAGGTAATTTCTGAAGAGAATAGAACACCTGGAGACTGATTTGACAGGCAATTTCTGTTGTATAAAATTAATGGCAGCTGTTTGAAGCTGCTCATGTGTCTGAAACACTAAGAATCCCACAGCCGAACTTTTGGTCTAGCACAGAAGGTCAAGGAGTGGTTCTGTACTGTGAGGCGTAGCCACTTCCATATATGCATTTTGAATCTAGTTCATAAGTTAACCACACATATTTTCCAGTTCTTCAGGAAATAATTTTGGAAGCTATTCCACATTCTGCTACATCAACCCAGACCCCAGTTCAACCACATCTCCCTACAATATACAAAAAGGTGTTTTCTCTTATCCTTTTATCACCTACACTGGATATATTTCATCATATCATAGCTAAGAACAGTGTATCACTGCACTTCTTTTTCCAGCTGCTTTTTGAAATTAAAAGACTTTGTAAAAATAAAAATAAAAATAAATAAATCTGTTAACATTACCAGTTTGTAGTGAGAAGAAGAACAGCAAGAACTACAGGCAGACAATTCACAGAGGTACTATGCATGTCCTTCGTACCGTTCATTTGTATACAGGGTCATCCCTATGTACTGCATATCCACGTAAGGGCAGATGTTAGTACTGCTTTGAGTCTCAAGCAATACCTCTTCCTCATATAAAACTATTTAGCAATGGAAAATGGATTCTTTCATCCTTTGCTTAGTAGAATCTTTTATTGTGGTGATAAATTTGGAACAATGAGATTATTTGATTAAACTTCCTCAGTCACTGCTGAATGGACTACCCTGCTTGTAGAATTAATAAAAAGGCCAAGACACCTAATTAATATGCTTGGTATTGGTCTAGATTGGCAGCAGTGCAGTTTAATCCTGCCAAAAGGTATTTGCTGAGGAAAGTCAAAAAGCTTTTAAATCACTCTTAAAGGTTGAGTCAGGAGAAGATGCCCTTGCAAAAGCTGTAATCCTGAACTGTCCAGAAGAATTTCCTCTTCTCCCAGGGCTGCTTACTGCACAGAACAATGTTAAATAACAGTTTTTCCTTGCATTATTCAATGCATCAAGCTTGATTTTGATGTGCATTTTAATTGGTAAGCTAGATACAAAAGCTTAAGCTGGAAAAAGCAACATGTGTTTGCATTCTCTAGCATTTTTAGTAGCTCATGGTATAGTAGTATTACCTATTCTAAACTCTAAAGGCAAATTTTCATGTACAGTAATTGATGGAGACCCACCACATCACTTTCACCAGTGCCTCACATTTCATATAAACATGTACAAATCAGAAAGACATGGAGAAAGTGAATGAAAAGCACCAGTTGTACATAATCACGCCTACCAAAAATATCACAAAGATCAAGACGAATGTCATAACTGCTGTTTAAAATCATGCATCTATGGTAAACATAACTACAGAAAGTTGTTATCAAGTAAATTGCCTCATAATTGTCATACGGAAGAGCCTATAAAACCAATCTCAAACTTGATTTCAACCTGTTTTGGAAACACTGTTTAGATTTACTCACTCTGGTATTTATGTGCTCTGTGGCGAACATCCCACATAATGAAAATTTGCTTTACAATAGTTTTTCTACATGGAAATAGTCTTTTGCATATAGACCAGAGCAGCTGCATTTCTCAAAAAGAAGAGCCCAAGCAAGTTTCAATTCAGTAAAATTGAAAGCAATGTTCTCCCCCAACTTGAATTGATCTAATTTATTTCATGCTGGTGAAACTCCGCTGGCTTGATGGAGTTGTCTCCAATGTACAACTTCTGAATACACATTAGCCACTTATTTTGAAGAGTGGCATGATTTTAGTGATCAGTCACTTCATCGTATTTCCAAAAAAAAAAAAACATGACTCCAAAAAAAGTTTTTATTGCAGGTATCAACTTCTAATTTTGTTTAACACAAAAGCACATAAAGCTGCTCAAAAATCTGTGGATCTGTGTGTTTCTTTATTGGTAAGGTTTCTACTAAAGAACACTTTTACATTCCTTTTTCTAGGCTACATTCATTGGTTTTGAGCTAAAAGTTTTCTTTATGTATAAGCTTTCCCTTGTTGGTCCATGCAAAATTCTTATTAAAGCAAAAAATCCTGAGAAATTCCCCCAAATACAAATTAAGCCACATCAACAACATAATAAACAAAAATTAAAAACAGTAGTGACAGTATAGAGGAGATCACATCATAGTTGGGTATCTTCAGTAGAAAAAAAAGACAAGTGCCTTGATTAATTTGAAATACAAATGTTATCCTTGGAAAAGTAATCCACAGACAAAATTGAAAAAAAGATTCCCTATGCTATAGAAAGCCTTGGCGCTTGAGAAAACAACAGCGCTGTTGGAGACTGAGGATCTACGAGAAAGACTGGAGAAGAAAAACATGTCTTGGGATGCTGTGTTGTTTTTTTTTTTGGTGGTGTTTTTTTTTTTGTTTTGTTTTGTTTTTTAATCAAATACTTGGATATAAAGATAAATCTACAGTAAATAAAAAAAGCCAGGAGATTGCAAACTTCCTTAATAGGATTTTTGTCTGCTAGAAATATCTATATTAATTATTTCAAATATCTGAAGAAAGAAAAATTAGAATAATGTGGTTTTTATTTTTTCTTCCTGCTACACAACATAAAGATGAATCAATTGTGATTTCACACATTAAAACATTGAAAAAGGCAATATTTTATGCTTTACTATTCATTGAAGAGGTGATTTGAGCCCTCTGTATCTCACGTGGGATTTTAATATTATCTTCAGTGTATTCTTTGTAAACAGTGAAAGAGAATTAAAGTAGCCCCTATAAAGCAGTCAGTGTTACTGCCTGAACACTGAGCTGCAAATAGCATTTTGCCATCCTCCAGTACTCACACAGGTTTATACTAATCATGTTTTAGCTCTCAGCCACAACTAAAATTAATGTCTTGTAAACTTAATATAGTGTTTCTCTACTAAAATGAAATAAATCCTCATCGCAGCAAATTTTAGTCTGACTTTTGGCACCAATTATAGACTAAAATTTTATTTATTCCTTTTGTTGTCAGAAGTAATAGGGCCTTTTTGTGCCTTCTCCTCCCACACGTTCTATTGTGAATTACTCTGATACCATTTAGGAGACAAAAGCCCACTCACGCCAGGCATCTCGTGACTGAGATGGTCATATCACTCCCTACTCCTCAAGTCCCTTTGTGCCAAATTCAACCATAAAGCACTTCTTTATCCTAGATCAGAGCAAGAGATCACTTTTCCCCATCCTCCAATAGTTAGGGAAATTCCCTGCTTTGTCAGATACGATATTGCATACAAATAACGATAATGTAATAGCTACTTATTTTTTAATCCAATCTTAACAGTAACATTAATCAACATCCAGAGACACAGTACAATCAAATCACAAAGATACACAGTAAACATGCAAGTTCACAGCAATTTTTCTGATATTGTAATAATCCATGGACTAGCAGATCAGTTGTAGGCTCTGGTATATCTGCCACTACAGATCAAGCATTCATCTTCTGTGACCAGTAATTTTTGTAGCACGTGCATACATTATTTCAGTATCAAGCTATTCTGTGTTAGGAGAAGAGATAAAAAAAAACCAACAACCTACCGTATAATTGATGATAAGTTCCCATTGAGTCAAAGAGGATCTTTAAATTAAATTGACAAACAATATTTCTGTTTATTTAGGAATTTTGCCATTTAATATACCTACACAGTGACTTTATCAGACTATTGTACAAGTAATGACTAGGCCTTGCAAAATAGATAACGGGAACAGCAGCAGCAGAAAATATGCAAAACTCCTATCTGCCTCCCAGTTCTTCCAAAGTGCTTCTATACTCCAAGTAGACAATCTTCATGACATTAAGTGAACCTGCATCTATCACCACCAGATCATACGTAAAGATTTATAAAAATAAAAATACCCACCCACACACCCTCTCCGCTCACACCATGTGAGGTAGCCTAGGGATGAAAGCTATTTTTCAGGCTTGTGCATCAGCAGCATGAATAAAGGTTCACTATTTAGGAGATACTTAACCCTTTAAGAAAAGAGGAAAAAAGGGAATTGTTTTCAATTCCTCGCCTATTCTATTTGCACTGGGGCAATAGGACTGCACAGGGTTACATCTCTTAAGTTCACAGATCAGATTATAAACAAGTAGATGTGGCAAGAAGATGCCATCTTTGTATGGTCTCCCTATGCTGTGATCTTAAGACTGGGAGAAAAGAAAGATTAACACACATTAATCCTTGCTTGGGATAGGAGAAAAAATAAGGGACTTACATCTCAGCAAAAAGACCTTGCTGCTTAGATACTGAGCAAAACTTTGTTTTGGTAGGGACAGTTGAAGATAAAAGTGCCTTGTTTACGAACTTTGCTGAGCCCCCACCACTAGCATTTAAGAAGTTAGACACACATCTGCCAGGGGGTGAATCCCAATATGTCCACCTCTGTTCTCCACAGTGGAGGCTTCACTCTCCACTGCTCACTGGCAGTAGCTGTTTCATATGCCAGGGCCAAAATCATGCCACAAAATACAAACTTAGTATTAGATTTCTAGAGGTGTTGCTGCAGTTACTTGTACTATTCTATGTACTGTTTTGTGTTGTATTAGTCACTAACTGCCTCATTGTTAGCAGCCTCCTTAGTTTTTCCATTTTATTACATTTCAGTTATCAAACAAGACCAAAAGAAAGAAATCCTGGAGACTGGGTAATGACTTCTTTTCTCTTTTCTGAATGCTTATTCTCTGGTTAGGAACCAACTTTTCCCCTCAACACCAGTGTCCCTCAAGACTTGGGCTATCATTTCATCTGATAAAATTAAGTTACTCCTGATTTTTATCCCTTCCCATTGGTGCCCATCAGCTCTGTCTCATGTGACCCAGCTCAGAACTCCAGAGAACATCTGTCATGCCTTTCAGAAACGCATTTATAGCACTGTAACTTTTGAAGAGATCCTATGGCTGACATTTTGTAAAGATACAAATGAAGCAGGAAAGAAATTTCCCCATGACTGTAGTGCTGGGGGGAGTGTGAGGGCGAGTGATACAAGAGATAGTCATCAAAACAATCTGCAGAAGCAGTCAAATTGCAAAGAAACAGTACCCAGATGAAGGGGAGCTGTTATTGCATCAGTCCCAGTGCAAGTAGAAAGTACCAAGAAAAACACAGAACCTCCTGACACTACTCAGAGCTGGGAAAAGAAGCCCTGCAAGAAAAACAAGCAAAAAATGGAAAGATCCTTAAGAATTTGACCTGAAAACCATGGTATCTGATTTGCTGAGTATCAGACAAGAAGTGTTGTCGTCTGCCGGCAGTAAGTTACCAGCATGCCATTTCCTTCAGAAGTTCATCCTGCCCTCAGTTACCTTGTTCTGGAATAGGCAGGGTGACCGGAGGGCACGTGCTTTTCACCTTGAGGTCACCGCAAGCATACTCAGTAGGTTACCACCTCATGCCACCTGTGTTGTGACATTGCGTGACGAAGGCCAACAAGACAAGTACATGTGCAGAGAGAAATCAATGAGAGATCAACTCAACTGATTTACAGAAAGTGTATCTGATGTAAAGGTCCAGAATGAAGGAAGATCTGACAATGCCCACTGAATGAAGATAGGTCAAGGCCATGACCATTATTTATTTATTTATTTATTTTTACTAAGGGAAAAAAAAAACAAAAAAACAAACTCCTGTGCAATTAAGTTGTTCACCTACATTAAATATGCCAACACTGTTTCTGAGTTCCAGAAAAGGTTACCCCTCCTGCTTCATTTCTACACCTAAGCACCAATTGCATTTATTTATTTACATTTGTTTTTAAGGTATTTAATCTCAACAGACAGAACTGCTGCCAATGTTAAGCAAAGGGCAGTAAGAGTTGAAGGGAAGGACAGGAAAATCTTCTTGAGAGTGAACTGTGTAGTTCTGGGATATGAAACTCTTTAGTGCCAGCACACATATATTCTTACCCTCTGCTGGTGCTAGGATGTGCACATGTGGATGCTCCAGCCCATGGCATTGATCAGCTCCTCCTTCAAGCTGCTGTACCAGCCATGAACCCCACTGAAGGCTGTTCACAACAGGCCAGTATATTTTGCCATCTTCTGCAGCAACACGACCAAGCCCTAAATAAGAAAAGAATCTAGCTGTTGAGGTATATGAAGAGATGTATTTTCCCTCCCTTCCTCTACCTGAGATCAAACTCCAGCATTAAATTTTCAATAGATGCAGTTTTCTAATCTCTCTCCTCTTTGATCATTGAGAAGGTTTTAAAAAACAACCCATAGGTTCCCTTCCTTTTGAAGTTTTACACAGCAGGATCATTACTGGTAGATAAGCAGATAGATGTAGTGCTCAGTGTTAGATTTCCACTGTCACCATAACAACGTTTACTGGGGATGCTGAGCTACCGGCATTTGAAATGAGATCAAGTTCTGCAGAGTTGCGGGCAGGTGACACAGCTTTCATTTGGGGGCTGCTCTCTCCAGTAGTGAGCCAAGGCCTTCAAGAAAGACTTGTTCCTTTTAGAAAAGAGACCAGGGAATTTCCATGCTTAACAGAACAACATGAAACTTTCAGGTCTGCTCATCTCATGAGACCAGATGAAGGTTTGCAGGCATTGGTAATTCATTATTCAGCTTCTAGTTACCTTGCAGCTCTTGCCTAGATTGCCAAGCTAAAAAGAAGATTTTGTAATGGATGCCTTCTTTCTCCCACTCCCTACCTCTGTGGATCATCTAACACAATGAAGTGAGCTCATTTCAAAGTCATTTATGGATAAACAGTGATATTAGATTGTTTTGTAAGCACAGTATTGGTGGAAGGTGTTGGCTGAAAATTTAAGAAAAGTTTCCTTTTACTCCAGAAATCAGCAGTTTAAACTGTGTTTAAATAATTTCTAGGAGATTATAAGCATCATCCACATTTATCAATGA